ATGTGGAAATATTCAGGATATAGAATGACTACGTCGCTATTTTGAGGTTGTTAATGTCGCATCAGATATAACCGACTTAAAATAAGTGTAACAGTAAATTTTGGCAATGAGTCTGTACAGTGTGATCTCATCTAACTTTTTGTGTGTGCTCATCTAGAGAAGGAGAATTTATAATGAAGCTTTATTTTTGATTAAAGGTTAACTTTGAAAATTTTTAAATTATATACAAAAAAAGCTATTTTTATTTTCATTGGTTATATAAAAAATTCATTTTGAATTAGTTATATTTTTTTAAATTTTTGAATTAGATCTTATGTTTTTTATACAACAATATAGTATGCAAATATATGACGAATATTTTTAATGCACTAACTCACAAATGTAATAATAAACTATCAACAATGCGGATTTGACAGAAATACATTTTTACTTCCCTTTAGCTGGGTTATAATCGATATATGGACAAAGTCGTAACGTTGTTTAGTCCCGGTTACAATTTATCACCAAACATACCTTCAATCGAGAGAGTTCAGCCCAGGGATAGTTACGTTTTTTTTTCATTGTCTTGAAGTACAACTCAATCTAATCAGCATTTGTTATTAAATATTGGCCCACGTTGTATTCCATACTTGCGTTTGTGCAATTTTTTAAAGCAGGGAAATTTGATCTACGTATTTTTCGAAGTTGCATCACTTTTTTTTTCTTTCATTGAAGAGTCTCTAGCTAGGTATTATATTTGTATGCATTTTTAGCGCAATTTCCATACGGACAATTGCGATTATTAACTCGTCATTTCTGGATGGATGAATGAATGGATGGATGGATGTATGTCCGCAGCTTTAAGTCGTTTCTCCTCCTCAACGTAGCAATATCGAGGACTAGTTCCAAAAGCAAATATGTTAAGCAAGTTCCGAGGATGATTGTGGGCCAAAAAATTCCCGAAATTCCTTCCTGAATTTCCCGGAAAAGTAAAAAAAAAACCTCGAAAAATGCAGTTTTTGGCCCATATCTCGGCAACCAGACCACTTAGCGACTTGAAACATTTACCAATCGATTCCAGTCATAATTTTGAACAATATTGCCGGAGAAAGTTTTCAAAAATATCCTTTCGTTCGGTCACAAAAAATTAATTACTACTTTTTTAAACTGAGCAGCGTGTAGGCCTAGGATGATATTTTTTTTTTAAACTGAGCATCGTGTAGGCCTACTCGTTAAAATAAAACTATTTCCGTTGATATAGGTTAATATAGTTGTCTTTTTTTTTAGCGCAAAAAATATCCTTTCGTTCGGTCACAAAAAATTAAAAATTGTTATGTATAACATAAGGAAATTGTGCTTAAATTGTCACTAGACTTTTTATTAACTTGTTTTTTTAAATTCGTAAAACATTTGTAAAGCGTCTGTTTTTCTTATCAAGTTGTCGTCATGGGTTTTTTTTTCTGGCCAATACCCCATTCTAATCACAATAAAAAATAACAACTCGCATTCACTCAAGAAGTAGCATATTCATAGCGGGATATTTATACGATTGTACGATAATAGAATCAAAGGGGTGTTGGGTCAGTGGTACATAATGTTAATGCTAACGCTAAAACTAATACTATCTCTAACCCTCACCCTAGCCCTAATCCCAACCCTAATATATATATATATATCTATATATATATATATATATATATATATATATATATATATATATGTATATATATGTTAACTTAGACATATGTATATATATATATATATATATATATATATATATATATATATATATATATATATATATATATATATATATATATATATATATATATATATATATATATATATAATGTATAATATAGGCTTCTGTCTTCTGCTATCTATCCCTTACATATGGTTATAAATTCAATGATTACCTTTTTATAAAAATGATCTGTGTGCGTTCTATGTCAAACTAAATTAGTGAATAGTTTTCCCCCAAAGCTTTCAAATAGTAGAAAACATTTGTATTAAATTTCCACCCCCCTTTAATAAGAACCGATTTATTTGGAATTTTGTTCTTGCAACAATGTTAATTTTTTTTTTTTTTTTATTTTTCTGGTTTTTTTTATTTTATTTATTATTTTTCTGATAAAATATAGACGGTTATCGTGACCATGCCATTACCAATTTTAACAGGCAAGAATTTTTTTTCGAAATTTTAAAACTTGAAATTCTGGGACAAGTAGGGGTGATGAAAGTACAACGCGAGATGGATGGGCAGTGTTTAGAATATAAGCTGACAAGATAGAAATGTAGAAATACTCAGGATATAGAATGACTACGTCGAGTTTTCGATGTTGTTAATGTCGGATCAGATACAATCGATTTTAAATATAACACTGTTTAAGGTAGTTTGTCGATTCAGTATTGTCTTGAATAATTATTATATTTTTAAAAAAAATTTTTCCTATTAGTTTTATTTTTAGTTTGGTGAGAGTTCGCAGTCTATGTTTTAGCTTTGCTTGAAATATTTCGTTTAACTAAAGGTCAGAGAATTTTTTAAAAATAAAATCTTATTTTATCCCTATTTTACCATATAGTCGAAATATAAATATCCGTTACTACTGGCCTGCTTTCATCGTCTGTACCTTGTCAAGTCGTCTTAATTATTTTAAGTGTGATTGCTTTATTTGTTGCGGCTGTTTAATTGGTGGTTTTTAATATTTTCGCATTTAATGTCTGTTATATTGTATTTTTATTCATACTTTTATTTTCAAATAGAAATCATTAAATTAGCATATACAAATGTGTGTGTGCGTTAGTCCGTAACATAATTCAAACATATATACAAATTATCCTTTACAAGAGCAAAATGGTGAACAATGCTAAGCAAGGATTTGTCGTTTAAAAAATCAAATGAAGGTAATTAGAAATTTAAAAAAATCAAAAGTAGTATTTTTACCATGATAGCGTAAAATCTTTTTACAGCATTATTTTTTTTTAATTCATAATATTTAATTTTTTTTTTAATTTGAATTTTAACACTTTTATGTTCAATAAAACAAATTACAACGTTTGTGAATGTCTTAGTCTGTAGAAGCAATCATGAATACTAGAGCACTAAAATTTACACACAAGTGATAAGGTAATATCCTCATTTTTTTTTCAACAGGTGAATTTATTCAAATTATTTAAATACAGTTTGGTAACATTTTGATAAAATACAAGCTAAATAAAAATACATACATTTTTTAAAAAGTTAATAAAAAGATAAATAGCAAATTTAATATAAGTATAAATTATAACACAAATATGACTAACACATAGAGAAAAAGAGGAATTGATTTGTAAATTTGTTGTCACTGGTCTTAAGCAGTCTGAGATTTTAAACTGCTGCACAATCTGTCCAACAACTAATTCAGTGATATGAATGTATGGTTTTCATCTGGGGGCAGGGGGTGACAATTATTTGACTAACAGTGTTAAAGGTTTCAGGTAAATGCAATATTAAAAATATCCTCATAATTTTTTTTTTTTCTTTTTTTTTCTTATTATTTTTTTTTTTTTTTTTTTTTTTTTTTTTTTTTTAAAATTCTTGTTTATATTAGGAATAAAACGAAGAAGCTGTGATATTGTCATTCAAAGAAATTTTAGAATAAAATACCGTAATAAAAAGTTTACACTGCTTTTGTGTTTGACAAAACACTATTTTTACTAATTTTTATTTTTATTAATTTTTATTAGTAGTTATGTTAATTATATATAACAATAAAATGATTGAAACAATATTGATACTTTATTCAAAGCACTAGCTTCACAGATATAATAATAAACTATTAATATTGCGGATTTGGCATACATACATGTATTACTTCCCTTTAGGTTAGCAATAAACGATTTCTGGACAAATTCTTAACGTTGTTTAGTCCCGGGTATAATTACAATTTATCATCACATATATCTTGAATCGAAACATTTTAACCCTGGAAGACTCATGTTTTTTTTTTCATGTCATGTCCTGAAGTAGGCTACATCTTAATCTAATCAGCAATTGTAATCAAACATTGATCCATGGTGTCTACTATACTTGTGCTATAATTTAAAGCAGGGAGAATTGATCGTCGTATTTTTCGAACTTGCATCACTTTTTTTTCTTGCAACGAAGATTTCTTAGCTAGGTATTATTTGTGTGTGATGTTTTTTTTTTTCAAAATTCGTAAAACTTATGTAAAGCGTCTGTTTTTTTTATCAAGTTGTCATCTGCGATTTTTTTTTCTGACCAATACCCCATTCAAATTACTAGAAAAAATGCCAACTAACATTCATTACACTACACCCTATTCATACGCACGACTACCCCACTGTAAAGTTTAACGATAAGACTAGTCTAGATTACAATCCTGATATAGTACCACTAACAATGTAACAACCTAACACACCAACTTTTGGAAGAGTCTATTATCGGTATCTTTAATCATTCGGTTTATTTATGAACATGTATGTAAACATATTATCCAAATTATATAGCTTTAACGTTTGTTTTATTTTCAGGACATTTGACTGGAATCTTGTTTACAAAAAATGAACGTCACTTAGCCAGACATAATATAAGGAAAAGCGTTGCTCTTCTCTAATACTTGGAGTTCAATTTGTATCAACTTTAACATAACCCTTGCTAGAAAATCTAGTAACTCAACAAAGTTCGCCACACGTTACTGTACTTGACAGCTTCAAGAACCTCAACCTATTTTACAACTTCAAAGAAAACGGCAACACAGATTGAATTTAACCAGCCGAAAAGAGTACCATAATTCATTTGGATTTAACTTATCAGTTTTCATGCAAGCGGAATCAACTATTTCTTTCACATTGCATCATTTTTTTTAAAATTCCATGGTGCTAATGACTTGAATAATTAACATCGTAGATTCCTCAAGAAAAAAACGGCATTGTTCAGAGTAAAAAAATTGTACACAATTTCATTGGCCAGGTACTGTTCAAAACACATAGCTAGATCTAGTATCTACGGATCCTGGGAAAGTTTTTTTTTAAAGCGCCTAAAATACTGACCTAAACCACAATGGGGTCTACAATAGGATTATCTTTTTTCATTTTGTTGTGCTTAGGTAAGTAAACACATTGTATTGAACTTTGCACTTGTGTTTCTAGATTACACTAAATACGTACATGTAGATTACACTAAATACGTACATGTAGATTACACTAAATACGTACATGTAGATTACACTAAATACGTACATGTAGATTACACTAAATACGTACATGTAGATTACACTAAATACGTACATGTAGATTACACTAAATACGTACATGTAGATTACACTAAATACGTACATGTAGATTACACTAAATACGTACATGTAGATTACACTAAATACGTACATGTAGATTACACTAAATACGTACATGTAGATTACATTAAATACGTACATGTAGATTACACTAAATACGTACATGTAGATTACACTAAATAGAAATTAACCAAAATAGCACAATTTTATTATTACAACACAATACAAATTGCTAAATACAAGGTAATATTTCTCCCAGATATTTTAGAATACTGTATACGAAAATCTTAAAAATTTTAAAGTAAATGTTAGTAAGAATAGTGAATGCACTAGAAATGTATTCAAAATATTTAAATGAATTATTTAAAGAATAAATTCGTTCTTTATTCTAGTGTTGGAATGAATTACCTACAACACAGTTAACTATTACGTATCTCGTATATGCAATATTGTGCTGTGCTTTTTGGATTTGCTTCCATAGCATTTGTCCCACTAAGAACAAGGTACAAATGCATCAATCGTTTGATTTTGGAGTTGTTTCTTCTAGAATAGTTGATGTCCCGATCTATCGAGCTTCATCTTCCCTAGGGATCGAACTCGAGACTTTTAGTTTTAGCAACCAAAAACTTTACCATGACAACCTGGGGCAGAAAATAATATATTGCAACGTATCGCAAATCATGTTTATCAGCGAAATGCATGTTGCTATTGTCTGTTCGTCGAAGAATAGCAACATGAGTTTTGGTGTAAATCATGATGTGCGCTTTTTTTTTTTCAACAATATTGTTTTTTGTATGTTATGCTATTTAGAAAACATCCACCTTTAAAATCAAACGTTTCTTTTTACGTAAGTATTTAGAAAATGTTAAAATCGCCTGCTCTGGCGGCCGAGCGTGCTAATGTGAAATAACAATACAGTTTAGAGCCCCATAAAATTGACAGCTAAATGGATCTGACGTAATTTCCTGTTCGTAATGTATTCCTTGTCTTGGAGCTTCATTTTAAGCTCAGCTCTATAAACAAACTGTCAGAGGATAAAATATTTTTCTTTAGACCTAGCAATCCATTGGGAAGACTAAAAAGAGTATATCTTTCTTGACCTCGTCATATACATAGAAGGTGTGGTCAGCATTATGCCCAATACGTGAGTTAGGTACCTATCAGAGCTGGGTGAACTAAGGGCCGTTCTACTGACTTGAACCCGGATTCGAACTCGAAACATTCGGGCTAACAGCTTTAACGCTCTACCACTTATGCCAGTTCAAAGAACTCTATGAACAAAATGTCTTAAAATAAAAAAATAAATCATCTTTAGGCCTAGCGATTCACAGATGGAGAAGAGTTGATATGTTCTTTCACCTCATCATGTGAATGGATAACGAGGCCAGCACTATGCCTAGAGCTGCGTCAACTCAGGGACATTCCACTGACTTTAACCTGAATTCGAACTCGAGACATTGGGGTTAGCATTCTAGCGCTCTACCGCTAGGCCATGTCAGATCATGAAATACATAGATCTGTAAGACACATGTGATATAGCTACAGACAGTTGTGCCACCTGAAATTGAGTTTCTGACAATTAACCTCACTCAAGAAGAAATTAATAGAAAAGATTGTAGCAAAGTGCAAAGATGTTATATCTTTTTTTAGTAATGCTAATCAAGTATTGCGCCGTGTTATGTGTCTTAGAAGTTAAAAGATTTCAATAACGTATATTCAATAACTTATGTAGACAAAAAAAGGACATTTTGTTTTATTATAGGTGTACTCAGATGCATAAACAATTTTTTCACGCGTTAATAAAATTGACTTATTACACGAGCATTGCGTCATAAATTTTTCACGAGTTAATAAAATTGACTTATAACATGAGAATCACGGCATGGGGTTGAAAAACGGGTGATAACTAACCCCAAAAATGCTCCAAATTGGGACCCTTGACAAATGAGGGTCGCGAGCTGGGTACAAAAACCCTTCTAGAAAAGTCTAAAATCATATAAATATTGACTTGTACTTTGTTCCTGGGAGGAAAAAAGGCCTTGAAAGCAAATACAAAATGAAACAATTCCGAAGTTTATTTATTTATTATTAATTAACCTAGGTAAAACATTTTAGGGATATTTTTTCAGAACAAAATGTTCTTATATTTTATCAGGGTATAACTATCTTAATTTTTTTTACATACACAAACGTACCAACTTTAGATTAAAAAAAATGAATAACATTATTTTACCAATTACCATGAGTGGCCATATTAAAATTTAATAAGGCCACTCATGATAATTTTGAAAAATAATGTTATTCAGGTTGTTGTCTTTTAAAATCTAAAACTGTTACATGTGTGTATGTAAGAAAAAAAATAAGACTCTGATACCTTGAATTGAAATAGTTACCTCAAATAAAAATAAAGACAGAAGTTTTCTTGAGCTCGACCCAGCACTTTAAAAAAATAATTCTATTTTCGTTTCCCTGTTAGTCTCCCCTGTTTGTCTGCCCCTATTGATCTCCCTTCCTGTCGTTCCCTCTGTATTTCTGCTTGACTTGAGTTAGACATTGGCCTAATAGACCCAGGACAAGCGACATTCTAAATTTAGACACACGACCTCAGCTAATTGCTACTATTCAGTGATCTTGTTTAAACATTGCCGGGGTGGGGGGGGGGGGGGTTGGTTAACATTCCGTTAAGAACTAAAGTCTGTATTTCTACAGTTGGTTTTGTAGTATAGAACAAGGCAAGCGAGTTCCTAAATTTAGAAATATCCCATCAGCTAATTGGCACTATTCAGTGATCGTGTGAAGCATAGCCAGGGGTCGATTAGCTTAGGTTTAAGAACGAATGTCTGTGTTTCTATAAAGTTGGCCCGTACTAAACTTCACTGATAAGCAACTTACGGTCCTTGACGAGTTTTTATGGAATCGACATTTTATTAAACAGGGAAATATTTTGTTCACTTTAATGCAGTTTTAGTTTTTATGGTTTTTTAAAGTAAAATACAATTCTTCTTTCAAAGCTAATGATAAAAAAAGAGATGAAGTAGAGTTCATATATTTCTTGACCTAGGCATATGAAAGTGTGGTCAGTACTAAGTTCAGCAGCCTTTACTTTCCTTAACGTGTCAGGTGACCATCAGAGCTATATGGGACTCATTGACGTCCTGCAGACTCAAGTCTAGAACGAGATCCGAACTCTAAACCTTCATGATTACAGCCGTGCGATGTACCACCCAACCGCGTTGTCCCATATCTGTATTAAATAAACCGTTTTTTTTAACTGTATCGGCTTGTTTGATACTCCCTCTTAACAAAAAAAAAGTTCGCTATTTAAAAAACGTTGGTAACCTTAGTATACAATTAAATAACAACTAACAGAGATAATTTGTTAATTTACTGTGTACAATCAATCAAACGCAATTGGTTTTTCTACGCTGATTGTAGTTGTATCAGTAGCGTAGCAATGGGGGGGGGGGGGGGGGGGGGGGCGGGGGGGGACATATGTCCCCGGGCGCCGACCTTAGGGGGCGCCAAAATGGGTTGGAAAAATAAATTGAAAGTTTGAGGGGGATGCAAATCGAAAGTTTGAGGGGGGTGGGTGCAAATCGAAATCACGAAGGGGGTTGCAAATGGACAAATTTGTATTATTTTAACTTGGGTTGCGCTTTACAAAAGATAAAAAATAAAAGTAACATGTCACGTCGACATATGGCTGATAAATGTATAATAAAGTAGGTCAAACGTGAGTTACAAAACGAGCCAAAAAATAAAAAAAATAAACACAGACTTAAAAAAAACGATTACAAAATGAGCCAAATAAAAAATAAAAATAAACACAGACTTAAAAAAAAGACGATTACTAAATGAACCAAAAAAGTAAAATCTAACAGGCTTTATAAAGGTCAAACAGACAGACCTTTTAACCTAAGCTAAAAAAAAAAGTAATTAATAACTCATTTGGCTCAATTCATATGTCAGACTTAACCACCAGCGTTTCTTTATCCGTGAATAAAAGATTACTTTGAACTCAGACACCATAAAGTAAGACTTCCATAATTAATATCACACTATCTACTATATGTCTGCCAAGGAACTCCACCCCTAATATACAGTTCCGGTAGATATTGTGACGACCGTTTATTTAGAATCGATGCTAATGACAAGGATATACGGTATTGTACAGTCCATTATAGAGGTATTGATGCATACAATGGTTGTGGGATATGCATTATGTGGTTTTGGTGATGAGTTTTTTGAGACTGAGGTATGTGTAAGTGAGATTTTATTTGTGTGAGTGCGGGATTATGTGTGTGAGTGGAATGTTATTTGTGTGAGTAAGATGTTATTTGTGTGAGTAAAATGTCATTTGTGTGAGTGATCTATTATTTGTGTAAGTGCGGGATTATGTGTGTGAGTGGAACGTTACTTGTGTGAGTAAGATGTTATTTATGTTAGTGAGATGTTATGTGTGTGAGTAAAATGTCATTTATGTGAGTGCGCTATTATTTGTGTGAGTGATCTATTATGTGTGTGAGTGAGCTATTATTTGTGTGAGTGAGCTATTATTTGTGTGAGTGAGATATTATTAGTGTGAGTGAGCTATTATTAGTGTGAGTGAGCTATTATTTGTGTGAGTGAGCTATTATTTGTGTGAGTGAACTATTATTTGTGTGAGTGAACTATTATTTGTGTGAGTGAACTATTATTAGTGTGAGTGAGCTATTATGTGTGTGAGTGAGCTATTATTTGTGTGAGTGAGCTATTATTTGTGTGAGTGAACTATTATTTGTGTGAGTGATCTATTATTTGTGTGAGTGATCTATTATTTGTATGAGTGATCTATTATTTGTGTAAGTGAGCTATTATTTGTGTGAGTGATCTATTATTTGTGTGAGTGATCTATTATTTGTGTGAGTTAGCTATTATTTGTGTGAGTGAGCTATTATTTGTGTGAGTGATGTATTATTTGTGTGAGTGAGCTATTATTTGTGTGAGTGAGCTATTATTTGTGTGAGTGAGCTATTATTTGCGTGAGTGAGCTATTATTTGTGTGAGTGAGCTATTATTTGTGTGAGGGAGCTATTTTTGTGTGAGTGCGGGATTATGTGTGTGAGTGGGATGTTATTTGTGTGAGCAAGATGTGATGAATAGTATGTAATGTGTATGTGGTGTCTCACGCATGTAATTTGTGAAGTGGTATAACTTTATGTGTTGTACGGTTTGATGTGTGAAGTGAAGAATATGAAATATTACATGTGAGGTTGTGTGTTTCTCCTTGTGGTGTAAAGGTATGACAACTTCTTGAGCTTGAATGTGTGGTAAGTGGGAGAAGAAAAGGAATCGTGTGTGTGGTTATAATGTGGGGTTCCGATGTGTGGGTTGGTGTAGTGTAAGCATAAATTGTGTGTTACAAAAAAATCAGTCCACGTCCTTACAAAAATAAAACTTAAATTTCATTTCTAAAATCTCAACAACATTTTCAAAATAAAAAAAAAAAGAACACGGTAATCATATTCGTGGCTTCGAGAACCGGAACTTCTTTAAGATTGCGGACACAAGATGGCCCACGTAATTTGAAGTTCAACCTTAATCCAAGATGATGATTTGAAGAAAATGATGACAGGCATTTTTTGGCCTCTTATAATGCTAGCGTGATTCTCATCCAGTAATCAGGAAACGTATTTAAATAAGAAGACAAACGCAAAGTAAACAAAGAAATATAATTATTTTATTTGAAACGAGGAGAGTGGCATGTTAATTATTTTAGAAGGAATGAAATCAGAACAACACAAATGAACTTAACACATTAATAATAGACGATATATATCTTAGGATGTAGAAGTAAAGTAAAATAACGCCCGCACTAAATTTGCTGAATATTTGCATTTACTCTCCTTAATCCACTGTCCCATCTTTGACAGCCCCCCCCCCCCCCACCCCACCAATCATATTTTGCAGGCCCATTTATAAAGCCCTCACCTATCCCGCTGTCCTATATTTGATAAACGCCCCCCCCCCCTCCCGCCGTCCATCGATAAAACCCTCTCACCACTCCGCTATCTATTACCCCCCCCCCCCCCCTCACACACACAAAATCGACCGATGTATGTCCTACCCCAAATTTTTTTTTCCACTATAATATTTTCAACCAAACACATATCCAATCCTTACCTATTATTGATCTGTAATTTATGTGTTTATCTATTTTACTTTGAATTCGTTAATTATGTACTGATCTGATTCTTTCAACAATAACGTGTCATTTTCCCATGTTTATACATTAAATATAATATTATGTTTGAGTGGCGAAGCTGCATTAAAATATTTTCTAGCTAAATTCATTTTTTAAAGTATAATTAAAATGCATGATGCTTTATTTTAGAGAAATCCTTAAAAGATCGTAATGTTTTTTTTTAAATAAAGTGCAAATTCAAATGCATTATTTTCTTGTCTAAATTAAAAGTTAATCAACCATGGATTTGCGTAATGGAAGAAGATGATTAATAACTGTTTGAAAATGGAAAATTAAAAGGAAGAGAATAAAAATGATGTGTTTCGAACTAGCTCTAGAAATGTATGTACACTTGTCCGATAGGATATTTGCCCGAATGTACACTTGCCCGAAAGGATACTTGCCCGAATGGACACTTGCCCGATAGGATATTTGCCCGAATGGACATTTGCCCAAATGGACATTTACCCGAATGCGACAAATGCCCGAATGTAGACATATCAGTAAGCGACAAACACCCGAATGGACATTCCAGAATGTAGTTTAGCAAACCCATGAGCTTTTACCATGTTTGTTTACCATTATATTCGTTAAACATTATATTCGTCAACCATTATATTCGTTAACCATTATATTAGTTAACCATTATATTCGTTAAACATTATATTTGTTAACCATTATATTTGTTAACCATTATATTTGTTAACCATTATATTCGTTAAACATTATATCTATTGAAATTTACCCACAGATGTATTGACGGGTGTAAAACAGTTCCATTAACTATCCCAATATTATTACCAGGTGTAATTACAACAGTCACTTAAAAAAAATGACTTAACCCTATATTTACCAACATTAACCCCCAGATTCAATGACGTTGATGAAACATCACCAATAATTAACCCATTGTATACCACTTTCAATGCAATAATTAACCCATGGTATACCAATTTTAAACCTCAATAATTAACCCATTGTATACCACTTTTTAACCCCAAATAGTTAATCCATTGTATACCACATTTTAGCCCCAATAATTAACCAATTGTGTACCACATTTTAGCACCAATAATTAACCCATTGTATACCACTTTTAATACCCATTAATTAATCCATTGTATACCACTTTTTAGCCCCAATAATTAACCCATTGTATACCACTTTTTAACCTCACTAATTAACCCATTGTATAACACTTTCCACCCATTAATTAACCCATTGTATACCACTTTCCACCCATTAATTAACCCATTGTTTCCTATAATTTTACCTCCAGACGTGCTGACCGGCGCCACCCAACATTGCATCTCCCGGCTACTGAGTTGCGCCAAGTTCATGGCGAGAGGTTTCATCGCTGACCAACAGGACCTGTGCAAGTAAGTGTAATGGTCATTTCATCATTGGGGTGAGGTCATTTCATCACTGGTGTTATGGTCATTTTATCATTGGTGTGAGGTCATTTCATCATAGGTCTGAGGTCATTGCATCTCGAGCGTGCGGTCATCTCATGGTCATTTTACTATAGATGTGAGGTCATTTCATCACTGGTGTTATGGTCATTTTATCATCGGTTTGAGGTCATTTCATCTCGAGTGTGCGGTCATTTTATCATTTGTATTAGGCCATTTGATCAACGGTGTTAAGGTCATGCTATCATATGTGTGGGGTCATTTCAACACGGATGGTATGTTCATTCTATCACATGTTCGGGGTAATTTCATAAATGGTGTTATGCTCATTATATTATAGGTCTGAGGTCATTTCATTTCGAGTGGCACGGTCATTTCGTCATAGGTGCAAGGTCTTTCCATCACTAGTTTAAACGTCATTTCATCATAGATCTGAGGTTTTATTTTTTTCACAACCACTTCGACCGTTTAAATCACGATTGCCCAAGTCATTTTATCAAGTTCTTTAAGTTAATTCTATCACGAGTATGGCGGTCATACGATCACAAGTGGTACTGCTATTTCATCACGCGTTTGACGATCTTTTATCACGAGTGTTATCTACACTTCGTATCACTATTGGTCATGTCATAACAAGTATGATGGCCACTTTGTAAAAGTCATTTCGTTACATATAAGAAAAACGTTGTTATTTCATCACAATTGTGTTATCGCTATATCACATTATGTGGTTCTTTTATCTTATCTGCCGGGATGCTAACCCTAACCCAAAATCCTCCACTTATCTCTTCTAGACTTCACACCAACAATGGCGTAATTATCACATTAGATCAGTGGCGTAGGCAGGGGGGGGGGTTAGGGAGGGATCATAACGGAATTTCCGTTAAAAGGGGGTTGGTGGGTTTGGAAAATTAATAATAGTTTATTATGTATGTATTTTTTTTATCAAACATAAAATGTTATTTTGTCCCCGGAACCTGCGACCTTCCAGAGAGAATTTTCAACCAAGAATCAATTATTTAATTTGTTCTTAATTGTAATGTTGGACAATATTTCTTTCATCAAAATTACTTATTACGTGGAAATCTGTTAAACGACATATAGATTGTTGACTCAAATTTTAGCCTGTTTTTCTTTCTGGATTTGCTTCCAAGAACAAACAGCAAGTCAGCAGTTGTTTGATTTTAGAGTTGTCTCTCCTAGATGGGTTATTGCCCCTAGCTACTGAGCCTCATCTGTCCGGTAGGTTCTTACTCGGAACTTTTCGGTTTACCTTTATCGCTCTGACCGCTAAAACTTCTTTATGGAGTTTATTTCTTCATGATATCAATACCACACGTCAGAGGCGTAGCGACCCCTCCCGGCGCCCGGGGACAAACTTTTAATTTGGCACCCCCCCCCCCGAACCCATATATTTTTTTATGTTTATAATTCAAAACTGCAGCTAAAATGAGCTTTTGATTTTTTACCAAACTATTTTGGCGCCCCAAGGGTCGGCGCCCGGGGACATATTTACCTACCCACCCCATCTTCGCCACGCCTTTGCCACATGTTCCTAATGCAACCGTGTTTCGTGTCCATACCATTTCGATTTTCTTGTATTTTATTCCTGATATTTTAATCAATACACTAAGTCCGTGTTCGTTTAAAAAAAGTAGTAGTCGATCGTTACATAGATCACAGAAAATCGATACCCGCAGAGCTAGATTAAAAAGTTAGTGATAAAATATACTTAATTAATTTCAGCCGGCTTGGATTATCAATAAAAGGTTTACTATCTAGCCCGTTTTTCTGATATTTGTTTCAGCGTGTAGCACGTCTATTGTTTAAGCATAGTAATAACCTAATATGTAGTAAAAACAGAGAACAGGCGAATAATAATGAATATGTTGTCGGGGAAACTTTTAAGAATCGTTATATCTGTGAAGTGTGTGGAATATATATTTAACATATCGAAATGTTCAATAACAAAGGGACTGCGTGGTCGAATGGTAGATCGTTTGGCTGCTAACCCGAAGGTCTCGAGTTCGGATCTCGTGTTAGTCCTATTGCCATAGTCCACCAAACTGTGGTGGGTACCTGACTTACTGTTGGGCACATAATCGCTTTACATACCGATGTCAATATCATAATATTATAAAGTTGTTTGCTTGTTCGAAAATCGTTACATTTTTTCTTTAACAAGTTCGATACCAATTTCGTTTATGACACTGATGCAGAAAACGACATTATGTTTATGTAGTAATGACCAGCTGTGTCCTCAAATATCCATTAATGTGGTTGTCTGGGTTTCTGATTCCTATCATACGAAAAGATAACCCAGACCCGTGAACAAATAGCGACAGTTTAAAAAATTAATGAATTTAAACCCGTACTTCGAAACCTTTTCATCATTCTCGAAGTGTTATTGATCGTAGCGTTGGTTTTATTGTATAGTCTGGCACAGAATAATGAAGTTGTCTGAAAATGGCGGGTTGTCTAGTGTCAGCTTACAGCTAACCTTATGGATCTATTGTTACCGTATGTGTATGGAAAGCTGTTTGCTAAATTTCGTTTTATATGTAAACTGTATGTGTGTATTAATATCATATGTATGTTGCAGGCTGTTTGGGATATTTATGTTTATATATATATATATATATATATATATATATATATATATATATATATATATATATATATATATATATATATATAACTGTATGTATCGTAATTATGTGTATGTTAGGTTGTTTGCGAGTTGATGCTTATATCTAACTATGTATGTTTTGATTTCATATGTGTATGCTAGGCCGGTGTTCTATATGTATAGAACATATAGCGTTATGTATGTATGGTGATCATGAGAGTGCGTCACAGCTCATTGTTTCATATTACAAGTGTCTAATTGCATTATAATCATAAGTGTAAGTCATGATATTTACCATATTGCTTTTTCCATCAAACCTTAAGCATGTATTGAGATTGTATGAGTAAACTAGATTGTTTTTGTATGAGTGTTTTCAACTGACATGATGTTTGTATGGTGATCATGGGAGTATGTCACAGCTCATACGTTTATATTGTAAGTGTATGTATGTTTGTAGTCAAAGCTCATATTTCCCTATTTTAATTGTATGTATGTATGGCGATACAATGCGTACGTTGCGTGGATGGATTTGTGTGCTACTTAGTGAGTACCTGCCATTCAGGTCACCCACAAAATGAAAGGTTCTTGTCGCTGATGAATCGTATCGCATGCTTTATTTGGAATAAATGTTATTTAATAGCAGGAGATGCTTGCTCAAAACCAGAGGTACGTGCGCGCTCTCGCCCGCTCTCTCTTGCACACTCTTTCTCTCTCTCTCTTTCTCACTTTCTCAATCAAACTATCTTACTCTTTCATTCGTTGTTGCTGTCTCTGTTAATATATAAGTCGTTATCTTAGTATATGTTGTCTCTATCTTTACTTTCATGTATCTTTTTGTCTTACTCTCTATGTCTTCCTATCTCGCTATCTTTTTCACTCTCACTATCTATATATCTCTCTGCCAGTCTCTATCCTATGTATTATTCTATCTTTCTCTGTCACACTCTAGCGCTCCTCTTTCTCTCTCACGCACATACTTTATCTCTGTGTGTGTCTGTGTGTTCGTGTTTCATTCTCTCTTTAGCTTAATCTCTCGTTTAACCGTACAATGTATCTTTATACTGTAACAGTTACACAAACTATCTAAATGAGAACCACCACCAGAGACATAGCGAGGGCAAGGTGGGGGGTGCGGACCGCACCGGATGACACCATTTAGAGGGGTGACACCAAGGCAAAATATTGCAAAATGTACAGAAGAAAAATGCCTTTCTGCCAGTTCCATTAATGATTAATTAAAGTTTAATAGTCTTTTAAGTACAAATCGAAAATTATTACAAAGGGTGGGTGACACCATGACGTAAACGTGCTAATTATAGAGAAAACAATGCTACATCCATCTGCGTTATTAAAAGATAAAAGATAAATGTCATTACTAATAAGTCTACACTGATTAAAGCTTATACATATACATGTGCGCGTATGTGGCGAAAATTTTAATTATAGGTTTATGTAGGCATATATATATATATATATATATATATACATATAAATATATATATGTATATATATATATATATATATATATATATATATATATATATATATATATATATATATATATATATATATATAAAATCTTTGTTTCTTGGAAAGGGAGGGGGCGATGACACCACGACATAGCGACGCCACTGACCACCACCATTATTTGTTTGCTAAAAATGTGACAGTTTGGGTACGTCTATCCCCAGAGTAGCCAGTGAGTTCTACGGCTGTATCGAGATGGGCTGTAACTCCAGCCTGACCCCCTGTGAGATGGCACGTGCCAGGAACGAGATGCTGACCCACTTCAAAGTCTGCGGTGAGTTCTTGGTGCCAGCCTCGACACAGACGGCAACCTGATTTCTCTTGGATAACCTGGACACATTCACTTCAACCAGTGGCGTAGCTACCGTAAAGCTAGCGTAAGCAAGGCATAGGGGCCCAAGGCAAATAGGGGCCCTTTTTCGAAAGTTTGAGGGGGGAGTGCAAATCGAAAGTCTGAGAGGGGGGGGGTGCAAATCAAAAGTTTGTCCCCGGTCGCCTGGAAGGGTCGCTACGCCTCTGAGGGGCCCACTAACACTTTTTGCATAGGGGCCTAAAAATCCTAGCTACGCCACTGACATCAACCAGGATCATAGCCTACATTGTTGATTAAGCTAATTACAAATATATAAATTCACTTCTTTTAAGTTAAGTTTCCCTTTCGAACCTGACGGTACGTGGGGCAGATCAAGTAGAGTTTACATGTTGTTACCACAGCATACGTAGGTATCGTGATGTCAGCATAACGCCCTGTCGTCTTTACTTTCTTAACGTTAATCAGCTACCCATCAGAGCGTGTTGATCCCAGGCAAGGCCTAAATATTTAATCCCGATAACCGAACTTGGGAGTTTTGTGTTAATAGTCGTATACTCTACCACCCGACCACGTCGTGACATCACTTTTCTAATTAATTACATTTTCAAAATGGTATTAATAAAAAAAACTAAAAAAATTAAATTAACACAAAAAATCACTGTAAATTGTGATTGAATGATTTTCTAGAATGTATGAAAAACACTTAGTTATTGTAGTTATTGTCATTGTAGTGTAATGAGTGTTAGTCTTTGAAATCAGAGTTTCTTCCAGGCATCTACCGACCCCCCCCCTCCGAACGAAATGAAATTTATATAGAAAATATATACTTTTAACAGAGTCCGCCCTCCCCGAAGAAAGTCCACCGCCCCCTCCCCCCCCCCCGAAAATTTTGAGTGTTCCCCCCCAGGAGAAAAAAGTCTGGAAGAAACACTGTTTGAAATACCGGACTCGCGGGTATGCCATAATTATAAATATGAATCTCTAGTCATCTATGACCAATGGTTGTTCTGACGGCCAAATACTGAGACTTATAATGAAGATTTGTTTCACGCAATGCCTTTTTACAAGCTTTTATTTAACTCACTTCCTCTGTCGTCAGTCTGTCGACAGTCTGTCTAGATAGAAACGCAGGAGTGAAAATTCGGACAGTTCTACTTGACCGACACGATTCACAGTTGGCACGTGGGTCAAGACATGAAGACAATGCAATCTGAAACTAAATTTGACTTAATTGGATGCCTAATTGATTTTTTATGAATTAATTAAAATTTGGACCGAATTAGTAGGCATGTCTAGCCACCCACACCACACGCGTCATCAATAGCTGCGCCATCACGACCACGTATTGGCTGCGTTCAAAAGCCATTGCGCGCCTACTGAACGTGATGTTCAGTAGGCGCGCAATGGTTTTTAGTCATGTAACTCTATTGTAGATAAAACATGTAAAGTACTGAAAAAAAATTCATAAAAAACGTTTTAATAACAAGCTTTTATGTAATGATGCACTAAAAAGTAGAAAATAAATTATAGACTACTATTTAAATAACTATAAAGAAAAGCGTGGGTCTCTTCTCAAATATTAGTAAAGGTATAAAATAGGTACTAAAGTACTAAAGTGCCCCACGCTTTTCTTTATAGTTATTTAAATAGTAGTCTATAATTTATTTTCTACTTTTTAGTGCATCATTACATAAAAGCTTGTTATTAAAACGTTTTTTATGAATTTTTTTTTCTAGTCTCTCGTTATGAAATATGTTTACTTTCTCTTTTTTTCTATGATGCGGAAATCTGGTACGCTGAATCGGTTCCTCTCGACGTTGAGCGGTTATCGATTTTGTAATGGCTGCAGGCCATCATATACAATATGCGAACCGTCCAACAACTTGACGTCACGCAATTTTAAACTCATTTTAACACTCCTCCCCACCCCCACTCTGTCAGCATCGCAAGCTGATTTTAAAAAAAAAAAAGCCATGCCTTCCCCCCTCTTCCAAAATGAACTCTTCCATCTTTCAATGCGTGACAATGTTTGTGGAAAGTGCCTCCACCCGCTTTTTACAATAATGACGTTTTCCATCTCAGATATAATTTTTCGCTCTAATTCCCTTTACAAAACCGTCGCTATGTTCTTTCTGCATTACAATTAAGTATTACCTGCAAACCTATCATGCACAACATAGGCCTTGACTCCGATTTCAGCCTGCTTTTCTTTTCGGATTTGCTTCCATAGCATTTAAACATCATAGAACAATCTACATTTTTTTTGAGTTTTCTCGCCTAGATAGGCTGCTGTCCCCTGCTATATCGAAGGGGTTTCGTACTCGGAACATAACGGTTAAGCATCGATGAACTCTACCGACTCGACCATGCGACCCCATAGGCCATCAATAAAATAAAACTACTCTACCGTTACTACCAAAAAATTACTAAATAAAATGTTTAATTTCTTAAGAGCACTAAACTACCGTATACCTCTCCATTACCATTTTATTAAAAACATACAACTAATCTAATCCCCAGAATCTCACATCAGTGCCATGGATCAGACCTGCTCCGGCATAAACTCCAGTTCATCATCTGTTTACACCAGAACAGAATCGGTGTGCCTGTTGGTCCTTATTTCCTTCGCTGTGTTACACATATGTGCCAAACTTTCTTCAAGACATTAATAAGACAACTGTGTCGCTTGATGTAACATTTAACATGATATACATGAAAGATATGCTAGTTTGTATTAAGACGAATGTGGAGTAATTTGCTTTTGGCTTTGGCAATACTCTAATCTACGGATTTGGAGTTACGCTAATGCTGAGATGGTACTAATGAGATGACAAACTACTGTGATTGTGATATGTATCAAAGGGCAGACAGAATCAATTCAATCAACATCAGATTGTTCTGGAATCATCAAGGGGAGATAACAAGATCGGTACCGGAGATGTGGAGTTCAGGCCCAACTCTGTGTGGACAGATGTTAAATTCTTACTAGATGATGGAACGTTCAGGGGAAATAAGTTAAAGTCAATGAGTCGAGCGAAAACATATGATTGGTGAAAGGAAGCGTGTAGTTTGTTCTTGGTTGGACAGAGACTATTGAAAGAAATTCTAAAAAGAAAAGGAGTCTGAAATCAGAGACAACAGCCTAAATGGTGCATAACCGGTTGACTTAATTGTGTTGAGGGGAATACCTCCCAAATCTAAAATTAAGAACGAAGAAGAAGGGAGAATGTGTAAGGAATGCTCAATTATGCATCTAGTTATTGTGATTCCTGTTTAATGGTTTAGATTGAAACGAGTGTACACAAGAGACATAGAACGTACCGTTTAAAATGCATTCGTCTCAATCAGAATATATTTGAGCCTAAACAACTTGTTCAGTTAAAAACATTACTGAATTAATGAACTAAAGTTAGGCAGGCAAACCTGGACTATATTTTTGCAAATGATGAACTGCAGGTTAATTAAGTTGGAATATGACGTTTGGTTTAGTGCTGGGGTTTAGAAAATGCTTTATATACAAGTGGATGAAAAAAGGAAAGTTGTTGATGCGATTTAAAAAAGAAAATTAATTTTGAAACCATATTATGAGCGATGAACAAAACATGGCATATGTCGCGTACTTAGGCTGACATTTGTGGCATATGACTGGTAAGTAAATGACAATATGCGACAGATGACAGATAGGCTGACATTAATGGCATATGGTATTGACAGTTTGCGGCAGATAACATACATGCATACAGTCTAATATGCCAGTCGGTAAGTTGACAATTGTTAACAGATAACAGTCTGAGAAGTATGTGACATTCTTGTTTTATGTGACATCAGGCAGAGGCGTAGCGAGGGGGTGGGGGCGGGGGTGCGGACCGCACCGAGTGACACCCTTTAGGGGGGTGACACCAAGGCAAAAAATAGCAAAATATATAGAGAAAAATGATAATTCCACTTAATTAAGTGATTAATTCGAGTGTTAATTAGTGTTTTAAGAGAAAGTTTAAGGGAGGGGAGGGGTTGCAAATCAAACGTTTGAGAGGGGGGGTGCACAATCGAAAGTTGGAAGTTTGTCGCTACGCCTCTGGGGGGTGACACCAGTTAGTGCTGCACCGGGTGACACCCGACCTCGCTACGCCACTGACATCAGGGATGTTGTTCTGACTGGGCATGATGGTCTACAATTTGCCAATTTTAACCAGTGCGTACATATTAATTTACTGTTAGAATTAAACCTCGTCACTTGTATTATTTATTAAAACTTAAGTGTATGGTACATTTTTTAAAAAAAAAGTCCATTCATTTATAAAACACAACAAACAAGCCAACATAATGAGTTTTGTTATGACCATTAATATACATTAATGATAAAATCAATAACTCTTACTTTTACAAATATATTTTTTTTTTAAATATTGCCTATATTTGACTTAAATAAAAACTGACATGAAATGTTTTGGAGTTGTAAAGGAAAGTAAACATTAGCAAAGCACAGAAAAGCATGGAAGGATGCTGCAAATTGACTGAGCCTCACTGGGTTTGAAAAAGACAAAGACGCTTATAATTTTATTTCGTTTCTGCACATGTATTAAATATATCTTAAAATGTTACTGTTTTAAATATCTGTACTTAATTACTATTTGTATTTCTATTATATCTTTAAAATATATGCTATATATTTATCAAATCACACTGTACATTGATAAGTGTAAAATATATGTTCACTATTCATTAATAAAGAATAACTTACATTACGCTTTTGATGGGTCAGTTTAATTAAACTAAAATAAAATGCCAATAACAAATACCTGCAATGATCACCATGTTTAGAGTTAAGCAGTTTAAAATGCCATTTAGAAAATCTTATAATAATCGCCTAATTGGCTTTATTATTTGATCAGGTAAATCGGTTTAACCAAGAAATCTACTCAAATTAGATTTTTATAGTGTTACATACAACAATGTCTTTAAATTGTATTAATATTTCTGAATAAATTGTGACCTTTGCATATATTTTGATTTAATGTATTAGTTCTAACATTCTACAGTGTGAATAAAAAACAAATCAATAATCGAATAATTAAAGGGGAACAAACCACTGATGGAACGGAAAAAGAAAACGAAAAGAAACCGTTTTTTATTCTCATGCAACCGACATTTTATTTAAAAATGTATCTAAGAAGCTTTAGACAATGTTCAGTAGGGTTAAACTGATTGCGTAGTCAAATATAAAAATAAATTAATTAATTTGTGTTTCTTATAATACAAGGCTTACTGATTCAGCTTTTTTAAAAGTAAAAATAAAAAGCAAGATGCTAGCTAGGAATATTTGTTTTTTAAATATGTTTTATTTGACAAAGTAGTTAAGTAGCATTTTAAATATAGATATATATATATATATTCCCTAATACTGCGGACTATTTTTACAAGGCTTTTTTAAAGTTAATCAACATTAATCTCTGTTTATTTCAAATATAAATGCCCTTCAGATTGAGTTTATTCTTCGTTTGATGTCTTCGTCTGTTCCTCTAGGCATATTTACAACAACTTCATATATGTGAACCTATTTACTCGGTTTATTTGCGGGTTCTCTAACTTTACTTCCAAGGGAGACGATTAATAATAAATCAAACATTTGTTTCTTTTCAAGATTGCAGCCCCTTATTTTCCCGCGCATCTCTTATGTGTTTATGAATGTAAAACAATAAAAATATCAACTGGAAATCAAGCACGTGTTGCAGATCTTAATACAATACATAATAATAAATCTAACAAATAATGTATTTTTGGCGTGTAAATATCAATTTAAATATTATAAAATAACTACATAATTTTCTATAAACCGGACCCATGCATTTCAACTTTGACAAGTAAAAATACGTCAATAACGCCTGCTTTATAAAAAGTGTGTAATTAAAATGTATTAAAATAAATTTAAATGTTTTAAAATGCAACTTTTAAATAATGCTTCTGAATAAATAAACTGTATAAATATCCTCTTTACAGTTCAATATAATTTACGTTTACAGTGTGTAAATGTATATTTTTGTGTTTCTATCAACGCATGTTTCTGATTCTGACATCGAATTGCATTTCCCTATCCGACCTATACCTAATACCTAAAATATAATGCCATGTCCCTTTGCCAAGTGTGTATCTAATACCTAACATCAAATTAAATGTCCCTATCTAACACATGTATCAGACTTCTTCCTATAGCAGTCATACACTATCCCGTCCGTATGCCTAACATCTGGTTAAATGCACCTATACAACGTGTGTATCACATTCATAACATATAATTTAAATGTCCTTATCCAACTTGCGTATCAGATTTCTATAATTTAATTGAAACTCTTTATCCAATTTATGTATCTGATTCCCAACATCTAACTTAAAATACCTCTCCATTGTGTTTATCTGATTCATAACTTATATTTTAATGTCCTTATCCCAACGCATGTTTCTGATTCCTAACATCAAGTTGAACGCCCGTATCCAACTTGTGTTTCTTATTCCGAACATTTAATAAAATAACACTATCCAACGTGTGTATCTGAATCCCAACATCTAAGCTAATGTCCCTATCCATTGTCTTTATCTGATTCCCAACATCTAAGTTAATGTCCCTATCCATTGTCTTTATCTGATTCCCAACATCTAAGTTAATGTCCCTATCCATTGTCTTTATCTGATTCCCAACATCTAAGTTAATGTCCCTATCCATTGTCTTTATCTGATTCATAACATCTATTTTAATGTCCCTAACCAACTTCTGTTTCTGATTCCTAGCATTCAATTGAATGCCCTTATGCAACTTGTGTTTCTGATTCTTAACATCCAATTAAATGTTCATATCCAACACATGTATCAGACTTTTACCTATAGCAGTCATACACTATCTCCGTCCGTATTCCTAACATCTGATTAAATGCCCCTATACAACGTGTGTGTCACATTCAGGACATATAATTTAAATGTCCTTATCCAACTTGCGTATCAGATTCCTAACATTTAATTGAAAGTCATTATCCAATTTTTTATCTGATTCCGAACATCTAACTTAATGACTATATCCAATATGTTTATCTGATTCATAACATCTATTTTAATATCCCTACCCATCGCATATTTCTGATTCCTAACATCCAATTGAATGCCCTTATCCAACTTGTGTATATGATTCCTAACATCTAATTTAATGCCCCTCTCCATTGTCTTTATCTGATTCGTAACATCTTATTCAATGCCCTTATGCAACTTGTGTATCTGATTCCCAACATCTAATTATATAACACTATCCAACGCTTATATCTGATATCTAATTCTCAGCATCCAATTAAATGTCCCAATCCAACACATGTATCAGACTTTTACTTATAGCAGTCATACACTATCCCGTCCGATTTCCTGACATCTGATTAAATGCCCCTATACAACGTGTTTATCTTATTCCTGACATATAATTTAAATGTCCTTATCCAACTTATATATATATGATTTATAACATCTAATTTAATGTCCCTATCCGTTGTAATTATCGGATTCGTAACATCTAATTTAATGTATTTATCCAACTTGTGCATCTGATTCCTAACATTTTATTGAAAGTCCTTATCCAACGTGTGTATCTGTTTTTTAACATCTAATTAAATAACACTATTCAACGCTTGTATCAGCTATCTAATTCTTAACATCTGATTAGAGGTCCCTATCCAACATATTATTATCTAATATCTGATTCCTAGCCGGTGGCGTAGCGAGGTCGGGTGTCACCCGGTGCGGCA